ATTGCAGTGACTTGGAGGTAGTGCACGACCTATGTACAGAATTTGGTCCTCAACTGGGTGCTCATGGGTTCGGGTCCTGTTCTGTGAATTTTGCTGCTTGTCCCCCCCACTCCCTAATCCAATTTCGTGTCTGCATGCTTTAAAATATGAGAAAAATAAAGGCCTGAAACTAGTGCCTAAAAATAATTAAACATATTAAGATAATTAATAAAACCATTTAAAAAATGATTGATCATAAAAGAAAATTGGACTACAATCCTAAACTAATGTTGTTTAATCTCAATTAAAAAAAAAAATCGAAAATTTTAGCTCTTTTAAAGTTTTCTGGGAGTTAATTCCAGATTATTGGAGAATAAGAACCAAAATCTTCTTTCCCATGTTTGTTTCTGGGTTTCCAGAGTAGATGTGAGTCAGAAGACCTGAAAGGTCCTAACAAAACATCTGATATATTTTGGATAGACTAGGAGAAGAACTTCAAACTATGTTCTCTGAGATTTGGGAAGTGCTTAAAACTGGGGTGCTGTGCTCCACTTTATTAGTTTTAATGAGGATGCGGGCAGCAGCTTTCTAAATCAAATGCAGCTTTCTAAAGGATGTTTTAGATAGACTTGTGACAACACAGCTACAGTAATTAATTCTACTAAAGATGAATAAAAAATATTTTTTTCAAGGGCCTGCTGAGACATTAGTCCTTCAATCCTGGAGATGTTCTTTAGGTGATAGAACACCAATTGTGTTACAGACTAAAAAGGTGCAGTTTGCTAAGGGGCAAGTTAATGTAATATAGTTGGGTTGTTTCTCTCTGCATGAGCCTGTATGTCAAAATGTTTAATCTGTGTAGATAATAAAAAATGCAGAATTAATCAATCATATAAAGACACCAATTTTTGGTAAAATATGAAATAGTTTCTTGTCTAATCAATTCAATTCAGTTTATTTATATAGTGCCAATTCACAACACCTGTCTTATCAAGGCACTTTACAATTCAACCAGATCATACAGTCAATTGATTAATATATAAATTCAATTCATATATCATATATCAATTGGTGGTAATCAATCCACCTTTAAGTTAGTATGGTTCAATTGAATAACTGAAATGATCAAATTAACTTAAAAATAGATGCACCTATATTGGGTAACACGTGACCAGAACTTGACTGACTTCCTTCAGAACAGGTAATCAAATGTTCCGGTTTAAACTTTTCATTCAATAATATCATGTTTCCGAACTTGTTTGATAACACTTTTACATTAACATACAGATAATTTTAAAGAAAATGAAACTAAAATAAATAAACATATGATTATTTAACCAGGAAAGCTGCTTTTACATGGACAGAGAACTAAATCATTACAATAATATTTTAGTCCTGTGTTCATAAACATTACCAATGTCATTAACTTGTAATTAATGCTGGGTTGTGAGGAACTTTAAGTGTGCAATAAATACAAAAGGCAAAGGGATTATTTTGACTTCCTTTTTTATACGCAGCAAGTGTATCTAGCATGAAATAATGAGGGCGTTTCTTGCAAGATTCAAATCCGTTCAAGGATGCTTGTTCTTGACTACCCACCAACTGGCCTAGATGTTTAGGCTGACTGTAAACTAAGGCCGTTTGCTTTAACTTCTGGTTCCCACAGATAACAAAGCAACAGCTGCTAAGGATAATAGGAAGTAAAAGTACAGACTGCATGTTTTTCTCATATCAAACAAAAAATAGCACCCAGTTTCTGACTAAATAATATTAACACAAAACAGTCACACTAGTGCGATACGATGCATGCAGCAACATTGTGGGAGGCTCTGATTTAAAGCATCATGTCTAAATGTCTCCAGATCAGGACTGAAAAACCTGCTAAAATCTACTCCCTGCATTGCACCTACATGCACCACAATACTGCTTACTAACTTAAAATCGACGCTTCTCATGAATCAGAGTTTTTTTTTACTTATAAGAAACCTTTTTTTCATTTTAGTTTGATAATCAGATAAATAAAAATAAGAACTTAGATGCAGCCATCAACATTATATTGATATAAAAAATTTGAGTTTAATAATTTAGATAAGTTTGATTCTGCAGTCCTACAGTTGGGAATGATCCATAACAGCTTGGTAAGAGTCAAATGATGGGGCTGATGGTATTTTTTCTTTAAAATCTTTAGCTTGAAATGGCACCTTGCATCAACATTTGTACAGATTTTAATCTTTCTAAACTTTAATACAACGGGCAATTCCTTGAGAATGTAACTCTGTTCTTTAACTCAGTATTTCCCAACCGGGGGTATGCATACCCCTAGTGGTCCTCGAGTGCATTGCAAGAGGTATGTGGGGAAAAAAACATTTTTTGTTAGGTAGTAAAATAAAATAGGGCTGGGATCTATTTTGCTTTGCCAGGAACCAACTGAAAAACAGCTTCGACACATATCCAAACCAAGCAGAGGAACAGACTGGAAGTAAAGAACAGCTGTTTTTTTACACTGAGCTATCGGAGCTCATCAAAGCAGCTCAGGTGTCTTGATGAAAACAAAGTAAAACTAATTAAGTCAGTCTGACTACAATTTTTGTTCTGCATTTTGTTCCCAATTCATCAAGTTTAAATGTGATTATAGGGGAGTTATTAAGATAAATACAGGTTTATATTAGGATTTTATTTTGTAATTATTTCAATTCCTTACTAACTTCTAGTAATTCCACTCTAACTTTTAGAGATGAAAGCATAATATTAGACAGACAGACAGACAGACAGACAGACAGACAGACAGACAGACAGACAGACAGACAGACAGACAGACAGACAGACAGACAGACAGAC